ATCTGTTAGTGTCTTGAATGTAAACTTATCTGAACTCGGCCTAAAACTGGGGTCTGTTTTTATCCGTGGGTCTTCCTTGTTAGACTGGGGCACATCCTGTTGTCTCTAACACAATGTAGGTTACTGTACACACAGGCCTGGACACGAGCTTTATTTATAGGAGAGAACAGCTCATGTTTTCAGCTTGGACCAGATCATACAGAGGAAATGTGGTGAGTTTATTTAAAGAAACTGGTGAATTCAGAGTTTCCACGAAGTACACTCAAATACATGGACAGAGATGAGAGAAGTTCCTGGACTGTTTAACATGAATGAATAAAACATACAGTGCATTTGTAGTCTTCTTTACTTACAATACAATTTGATAGATATTCATTATTCATTAACTAATCATTTGATTTATATCGCGCCTTTGTAGATACCCAAAGTGCTTCCCCATGCATTATTCGTTCATTCCACACTTGATGGTGGTGAGCTGCTATTGTTGCTACAACTGCCCTGGGGCAGACTGCTGGAAGCGAGGCTGCCAGTTTGCACTATCAGCCCCTCTGACCAACACTCACTCACACACCACTTTCATACTAGGTAACAATAGTTGTTGCTGTGTCCTTTGGCACAACTTCTTGAATTCCATGAAAAAGATGGGAGCAATTTGAACACAACACAAACATGTTTTTCTAAGTCAACTTGAGGACATGTATGCATGCAATAATATATGACATTAAGCTGTTCAGAGAGCCAGGTAAATTAATTCAATATGAAATCCAATATAAAAGGACTTGGCATTTATCTGTACCACAGCCCGAGCATCCAAGTTATGTTACAGTAATATGAAGCTGGGACTGTGGTATATCCCACATTGTCAACAACATCTTATTCTTAGTCTTATTCTCTGCCACAGGCAAAGGCTAAACAAGGTTAGTGTGAGCAAAATTGTAATTTGAATTAATGGAAATATATTATAAAACTAAGACAAAGACACCTGCTAACCCTGTAGTTCACACTGCTATAATTTACTGTATATGTCAACTCTTAAATGTTAAAGGTCCACTGTGTAACTTTTTGGTTGGGGGTCCATCACTATCTTGTTTCTATGGAGATGTCCTTGCTCTGCCTGGAATATTCCACAGTATAGGAGGCATAAGTAAGACACTTAAACCACCTCGCCCTAGTGTGTGAGTATACTGGTGTGTGAATGTGTGAGTGGTCCCGTGTGCTTTGAGTGCCTTGAAGGTGGAAAAATGCTATATAAAAAATGTGACCATGACCATAGCTTAAAAAAATACCTAGAAAAACAGTGATTCTGGCTGTGAGGATTCCACCACAGAAAAGTGGAAAAGTTACACAATGCACCTTTAATATTAATTGTCCTGGACATGTGTAAAATTAAAACTGAATCCTGATTTGAATACATGAATCACAATTCAATTGTTTTTCCAAATCATGCCGCCCTATTCTACCTAATATGACTTTTTCTATGACAACTCTTCACTTACATAACTTTGGATAAACAAAATATTGACTAACTGCACAAAATTGAAAAAATGCCAACAACTTTGACCCAGTTTCTTTCATTTTCTAATTCCCATGGAGAGCATTGACTTAGCTGCCCGTGATGTTTTCTTGTGTCCTGACCTAACACCTGGTAAATCTGTAAACGACTGAGTTAAATATGCACTATATAACTTTTCTGTGGAGATGTTATTGCTTTGACTGGAATGTTCCTTGGTAATGCAATACACATCGCCACATCTATTGCCATGGAGACAAACAGGTGACACCTCCAAACCAAGTTACGCATCATATACGGAGACCCTGCTCCGTGTAAGAATGCATTTATTTTCAGTTTTTATAAGCACACCTGTGATGTGTAAATAAATGTTTAATGACATACTGTGGAACATTCCAGGAAAAGCAAGAATGTCTCCAGTGGTGGATGAAGTAGTCAGATTTGTTACCTAAGCAAAAGTACAGATACAAGAGAAGTTACTCAAGTAAAAGTATCACATGAAAAAATCTGCTTAGTAAAACAATTGAAGCACCTGTTTGAAAATGTACCTAAAGAGTAAAACATAAAAGTGTTTTGCAGAGATTTTTAGAACAATTTAAGGATGAAATGTAGTGCTTTTGATAAAGAAATTTGCAGATTTTAAGTGATTCAACTGACTTCTTATTTTTTCTAGCTGTTTTTGTGCATTTGGTTTGCTCAAAGTTGGGAAGTTAAGTCAAATTAAATGTGCCAAAAATAAGTCTCAGTAATTTCTCAGGTCTCAAACCACAAAAATCCACTGTAAAATACATAAAATTTTTACTTTACTTTTTACTTTTGAACTTAGTTGCCTTCCACGACCGAACATCTCCAAGGAGACACGAAACCCTCCTCCAGAAAGTTACTCAGCGCACCTTTAATGTGAGAGTGTGGTTGAAAACACAGCAATTCATCTTATTAAAGCATTAAAGTGTCGGCTTATAAACACACAGGGAAGTACCTGTTAAGAGAGACTAAACAAAACATAAAATTCTGTGTTTTGATACAATGAAAAGTGTGTTTACGCATGTTGGTATGGAATAAGTATTGAACCATTCTTCTTATATCATGTAGAAAGCTGGTGAGGATCTTGTCAGCAAGTTTTAAAGTGCTTGAAAATATTTGCTGAAAGAAAGAGGCAGCTGGTGGGTTATCTTGGCTGAAATTCAAGTATTTGGTCATTTAGTACATCTTGAAAGGACACAAATCTAAGGACTTAAGAAGATGAAGTAGGATTTAGGAATAAAATATTGTGTAGGGTTTTCAGACCACCAAGGTACTGATAATAATAATAATACAAGATGTTGCATTATGATGTTTTGGTTTCAGGGGAAGGGATGAACGGAATAGCATGGGCACAACTTAGAAAAATAAATGTTTTGAGGTAATTAATAGTCTTAGATTTCACAGGGATTAATCATATTGCCATGATATAAACCTGAATGATTGCGTAACTTAACTTGTAGCCTAATTACCATATTTACACTTAAGGGTGGATTGTGTAACTTTTCTGGCGAAGGGCCTTTCAGATGTTTTTCTCTATGGAGATATTATTGCTTTGTCTGGAATGTTTCACAGTATGGCTTTTAACTTTTCTATCTTCATGGAGACCAAACTAGACCAAGTTACAGGTCAGATCTGTGGAGAGTTGACCCCGCTCACAGTCAGAATGCCTTTTTTCTAGGTATTTTTGAGCTATAAAACCACCTGTAATTTAATAAATGTAAGGTAGAGCTGTTTAATGTCAAACTGTGGAACATTTCAGGCAGAGCAATGATGTATCCATAGAAACAAGGAGGTGATGGACTCCCAACCAAAATGTTACATAGAGCACCATTAAAGTTACCATTATGAAGCTCAGTGGTCAGAGGAGCGACACCCCAAATTCTGTTGCTGTGTCCTTAGGCAAGACACTTCACTCTCTTTGTTTAGTATGAAAATGGCTAACAGGAGCTTAAAATCCCCAAGTGTGGAGTGAATGCTCTGTAAAGCATTTTAAGTGTCTTGAAAGCTGCTACATAAAGACATTGCAAGTTGAGTTTTCAGGTAGTCTACAAACAATTGTCAAAATACACAGATTAAAGGTCCTACATTACGCAAAATTGACTCTTGTGACCTTTAAATCGGTGTTTCCCAAACTGTTTTTTTGGGTATATATTTTAAGTCACAAACCATCATGACCCAAGTCAAAAGACATTATTCATGAATCACAAAATAAAGGTGGCTTTGAACATTATTGAACATTAATGAGGATATTTTATTGTTGATTGAGTGATTGTGTCTCTCTGAACAATTATTACTCAAGTTTTAAACCATGAAAAATAGTAATTGAAGCAGCGATAAAAGGATCCATAAGTCGCCTATTTGGACATTAAATGTAGCCCATTTCTTTTTCTTTTCAACATTCAATTGAACCAGCAATACTGGAACAAAATAGTCAATAAAATAATTACAAAAAGTAGAGAAATTATACAAAACATGTCTTAACATTTCTAATGAGATAAGTGGGCCTGTTTTTGTAGCTCGTTCCAGTCCGGGATACAGGAGGAAAGTGCAACAACAGATCAGTGTAGACTGTGTTACTGGATATTGTAGACCTACATGCAGATCATGACATGGTGACCCAAAAAAAGTCTCTTGTGACCCACCAAAACCATACCTAGAGTTTTGTTTTTCATTCAAATGTCTGAGTAATCCTTTTTTATTAGTCTGTTTGCATCTCTAAAGGTCAAAATGCTCTGTTTCACCTTGTGATGTCATGTTGTGATAATTTTCAAGTTAACAGCTACATTTTCACCTTTAGTTCAGTAAAGATGGGCAGTTCTAAGGCTCAAACTTTCAAAATGATTCTAGTGAACGTGTATGGAGTTGAAAAACACAGTGGAGCACTTATTATTTTTATTACTGCATGACATCACAAGGTGGAATAGAGTGTTTTCTGTTGGAGAGAAGAACTCATTCTAAGTATGCAGAGTGTGTGTGTTAAACATGTGTGAAGGAAACAACACAACTGCGGGTATGTTTTTGATAAGGAAACATTATGGCATAGATCATATTGGCCCTTTAAGGATGCATTGACACATATCCTGCTTTGATCCTAGTCTGGGCCAAGTTTTATCCAGATGTAGGCTTGGTTTGATCCTATTCTGGTCCTGGTTTAGTCCTGATCAAGCCCAGGTTTTGTTTTGACGATCTATGGCACTACTACAAACTACTACTAATACTACAATAATAATTATACAATGCAAAATCAAGTTAAAAATGACAAACACTGGAACTGATTAGACACTGGAACGCCACTGGATAAGACAATACTGATAAATCCTTTTGCAAAACATGTTAGGAAAATAAATAAGATAACAAATTTGTCTTACAATTTCCTCCCAAAGATAAAATGCATTCTTACAATGTCCTAAAGATAAAATTATGTTGATATAAATATGAATCCTAATCTTTCTCTATTTCTTCACAGAGCGCAGAAGTCTCCAGTGTGATGTAAGCAGCTCCAGACCCGTCAAATCTAAGATGGCGGTGTCCCTTTCCAAAGTGCGTCTGAGAAACCTGGTTCGTCTCCAGACCCTCCTGCTGTGCCTGGTGCCACTGCTCCAGTCCGCTGAGTCCAGTCCTGGTCCAGAGCCCAGAACATGGAGTCAGAGTGGACCCAGACTACAGCTCTCTCATTCAGGTACAACTAACTCTTACAGTGAATGTACTGTCACACAAAGTAGCTAAATCTGCTTTTAACTTTGTTGTCTTAAAGAGGGGTAGTATTGAATATCTTTTGAGCTTTCTTCCATGTTGTAATATAATGTTATAACTCAACCAAAATATGCCTGAGGAGGATTTAAATGTCATCCACGCATGTTCCAGTAATTTAGCAATCACTCCTATATATTCTAAATCAAAAAACTGTACACAGCAACTTCACAAACCTGATGTGTTGTGCAGTTTTGTTAGTGAGATGTACACAGATTATTGTCAGAGGCGGCGCTACCATTTGGCAAAAGTAGGCGGCTGCTTAGGGCCCCAAAACCTGGAGGGGCCCCCAACCAATTGCCCTCAGTGTCACTAATGGCCGAGGCCTCAGAGCAATCAGATTTTCTCTCAATATGACATAAATAAGAGTAGTTTACTAATAATAATCATATGTAATGGATGTAAACATAAATATAATTGTACTAGCAAAAAAATAAAACTACTTTCACTAATAAGACAAGTTTCCAATCCACCATAATTCAAATAAATAGAGATGTGCATGTCTCAAGAACAATGGGGAAAAACAGACAATAAATATATTTTAAAAACAAAACAAAAAACAGTGCATTATAGTGAGGGCCCCAAACTCAAGTTCGCCTAAGGCCCCCAAATTGGTCCTACAGATTGTGTTGTGATAGCGCTCTGAAGGGGGGGGGGGGGGTGACTTAGCATGGAGAGCAAAGCTGGGAAGATTCACAGTGTCAAAAACGAAAGTGAAATGTTATTGTGTTGTTTTGGGCAGATATAGCATTTTCAAAACAATAAAAGGTAACATGGTGATCTAAATAAGTTACGCGCAAGCAGTTAATACCCCATAGAAGTAAAAAAAACAAAAAACAAAAAAACAATCTGAAAGTCATTGAAATTGCTTGCCAATACACACTGCTGCAAGCACAGATTTGGAAGTGTGACAAAATTCAATGTGGAACTAGTGAACCAGTGTTTTATGGTGCAGATATGATTTTACAGTAATGTTGGTTATAAGTTATTTATTCATATAGCATCCACCTGTCCAGTATTCTTGCATAAACTGTCACCGCCAAACACCATGATTTTGTCCAGGCCAGTGTAGGCCTGTGCAATTAGTCAGATTTTAATCGAGATTCAATCATTTGTAATCATCACTGCCTGGATCTTTTTAATCTACAGCCATTCCTCTGTCAGTGAAAACATGTGGTTTGGAGCAGAGTTCAGACTTTTCTCAAATACTAACAATAATTCAAAGTCCGTATTGTGTATGTCCAGGAAATTAATTTAGAAAGTTTATTTATTTAGAAAAAAGACATATTGAAATTGAATTGAAAATCGTGATGGGTCAATTTGAGTACCTGTATTCCGGATACATATTGTCAGTATATTTCTGTGCAGGTTAAAAACTTTTTGGCTCTAGAAAGTTACATACATGTACCTTAACTGTTATCTTATGCCAACATCAAAACAATCTCTCCACTTTTGTAAATCTCTGGATGTCTATATTTAGTTAGTGTCCAGTTACTGTTAAACTCATTCGTCTCAGGGAACAGTGTGGTAGCATGAAGTCATGTCTGAGTGTCACTGGCGTTCTCTTACAATAGACATGTCCTCTATTATGGTGCCAAGTTGGCTACACTTATTATTACCAGTCCACATTTTTGAGCTTTTTTGCTTTGTTAATGTAGAAATATGATAGAATATTTATTCATTGAACACTATGAAGAGTGATGCTGTGATGACAAGTGCCACATGTGAAAAATGTTTAGGTCATTGAGAACAGGAGTCTCCAACCTGTGGCTCAGGAGCTACCAGTTGCACTCCACCTCCTTCCAAGTAGCTCTACAAGGGATTTCTTAACTATACATATTGTGCTGAATAACTAATATTTGATTAATCACCATTGGAGCACTCTTCTGCGTTTAGAAAATAATTTTGCGGCATAATAAATATTATAACAACTGAAGTATTCTACATATAAAAGTAATTAGGTAGTTTTTGTTTTAATCTTTATTTTAATCAGTATGAATTTTAAAGGTGCATTGTGTAGTTTTTCTGGTTGAGGGACCTGCTGTTCTCCATGGAGATGTTATTGATTTGGCAAAAATGTTTCACAGTGTGGCTTTAAACCTTTGCATCATCACGGAGACCAAACCAGGCCAAGTTACTGGTAAGGTCTCTGGAGAGGCAACCCCGCTCACAGTCAGGATGCCTGTTTTTCTTGGTATATTTTTGAGCTATTAAAAAAAATATATAGTAAGGTAGACCTGTTTAATACTAGGCCTGAGTATCATATATCAAGTTGCAGAAACGATACATACCTTGATACACAAGCCACGAGACGATACATATCTCGATACAGTGAGCTTTCAATTTGATATATTTCAAACTTATTCGATGCGGTTCAGTAAAAAAACAAAGGCTTAATCATGGCTGTGATACTAAAAGTCTTTGTTAAACCGCTTCTTGTGCAAAGTTCATATGAAACACAAACATTTTTATGATCAAATCTGTCAAAAATGTCACATGTGTTGCGTAAATGAGTTTACTTCCTCTAAACAAGCGACAAAACTGTAGCACTGTAACAAAATAATTTAGTAAAATATACCAAAAAAATACTCTTGGCGATATATCGATATTTCAATATTTTTGCCATATTGTGGCATATTGAACTAGAGCAATGACATATCCATAGAAACAAGAAGGTGACAGATCCCTGACCGAAAAGTTAAATAGTGCTCCTTTTAAATAGATTGTTTGGTTTATGTTTTTCGATTTTAATAAAATTCGCTTTGACTATTATATTTGTTCAAGGCAGTGACTCAGAGAATGTACGGTAAACTTTAAAGACGTAGAAGTTGGGAATTTGAGTTGTTATTATTGACTTTTGTTGGCTCATTAGGAAAGGAAATTTACCGTATTAAAGCTTGGTTGTAGTACACACAGATTTGCTATTTTAGGTGTCATAAATATGAGCAGAAACTATGTAGTCATCTAGTTTATCATACTTCACATTTGCTTGGCATTATATTCAAAAAGTACAACAAAAAACATAATTTAGTTTACATTAGCATGCTCTGGTTTGACTCCAAGTAAGCTCTCAAATAAACAACGTTATGCACGTATCACAAACATACTCAAAGATAGGAAAGATTGCTTTGATCATTGTTATCTTGAAAAGTTGAGCTCTTTTCCTTCATTTTGTGATAAAGCAAATATGTGATCAGCTGCCAGATTTTGCCTATACTCACGTAAAATAAAACACATGCCCTTCCTCATATCATTTCATCTCTTATCCAGGCTGGGCGTGGATGCAGAAAGACTTTTTGGCTCACTGTGGCATGGTTGGATGTCAGCTACTCCCACAGTAAAACCAATGAATAACTTTATGATGAAAAAAAAGAAACAATATGCTTTACAAATGGATAGTTTAGTTATTTACAGGGTTCTCACGATCATGGAAATCCTGGAAAAGTCATGGAAGTTGAAAATGTCATTTTCCAGCCCTAGAAAAGTCATGTAATTTTGTAAATTCAATGAAAATTTTGGAAAAGTCATGGAATTTTGGTATCTCTTTCACGCAACTACAGCGTTCTATTAAGTTATCATTAGACTATTATGATTATTTCTGAGTGTATGATATGTATTTTGTTTATTTTGTTTAAAAGAGATGACAATAAATGTACTGACAGTATTTTGAAGGTTAAAAACTATAAAACCAAACCATAAGGTGAGTGGAACATTTCATAGTTAGCCCTAAAAGTATGATCAGTTCTACACATATAGGTGCTGTAAAGTCATGGAAAATTCACTTTAGGTCATGAAAAAGTCATGAAGAAGTTTTGAAATTTTGTCAGTGAAAAAGAGTGGGAACCCTGTATTTATACAAGCCAAAGTAGATACTCAGTTGAAGTATCAGTACTAAAAGATACACAAAACGGACAAACCTTGACCATTCCTGAACAGTTTGAGTAAAATCTTAAGTTGAGACAAACACACAGAAAGTGCTATTGCTTCGTTTAACATCAATGAGTATTGACGCTATTCCTTGACAGAATTGAATCTGAAATTGTAGTAATTCGTGTAGAGATCAACCAATATGTTTTTTTTTTTTTTTTTTCATGGCCAATGGTGATAATAATAGTTCAAAATCCAGAGAAACCTTATTTGTTTCCTCAAATTATATGAACTGAAATGACTACAAACTCATCCACAAACCAGTTTTACTACAAAGTGGGTACAAGAGCTGTTTTGTTCAGAGCCCAATTTGCGCTAAAGTGTTCTGAAAAAGTACTATCCATATTCTTTAAGCATCTGGTTGGCCTAAATAAAATATAGGCCTTTGCTTGAGATTTTAGGGAAATAATCAATAGGCTGAAAAGTGGAAATATCAGTCTATCTCGAGTATCACGACTACTTAAGTACTAAGACAAAATTCACCATTACTTCGAGGTGAATATGCAGACTCCACACAGAAAATGTCAGGATTCGCACTGACAGCCTTCTCGCTCTGACCACCGTGCTGCCATAGCCTCTTTAATCCACATTTCCACAGGTTTCTTCTCCCTCCTTGGTAACCAGTAGTGAGCAGAGGTGATTAGTTCTGGCTGGGTGGTTTCATTGAGCGTTGGTTAGTGAGATGTTTGTGCAGTGAGTGGTCAGACTGTGAATGAGTGAATGAGAGGCAGCTCTAGTGGCATTAGTTTGACTCATGGAGAAAGAGAGAGTGGAGTAAAGTGGCAAAGTAACAGGTCTTAAGCATTTAATTAGTCCTGACAAGAGATGTTATTTCAGAGAGAGCTTTGAAAAACACTCGTAGTTACGCTAAAGAGACCAGAACTATGCTGATACTTAACATTTTCTGACATCTTTCTATTCGTGGGTTGAGAGTGATGAAGAAATGACAGGTGAAAGTAAAGTCAAAGCCAAAGTAATTAACAATTTAAAATGAAATATTGT